CATATAAATATAATTTTTTTGTTTGCTATATGTGAAAGTTGCTCTACTATTTAATAATGTATTTTATATTCCTACGTGGACATCATAAATATTGCATCATTTTTAAATAGTAATATGTCCACGTGGGCACATATATACCTTTAAAATACACTATTAAATAGTGAAGGGTAAAAGGTCCTTTATAAAATTTGATATCGTAACAACAATTTCGGCAAAAGTTGAAGTATTTTTCAGATCATTTTATTTTTATTTTTAATAAACTAAAAAGCCAAATCTGATTTCTAAACCCTAACCCAACCCCCCTCCCCCCTTCTTCTCCTAGATTCAGATTCCACCCCCATCCATCGGCCGTCCCTGAAACTCCAAAATTTCTTCTTCTTTTCCTTTTTAATTTTGAATTTTTACATCAAATTCAATTTTTTCTTCTCGATTTGTCCTTTTGGGGTTTTAAATCTAATAGTGTCTGATAGAAAAGAGGCAGGAAGAAATAGAGAAAAAAAACAGTAGCAGCAGTCACCATTTTTTCCGGTAAATAAAACGGTGACAGTTGTTAGAGTAAAGAAAAAAAAAAAGAATTTTTAAATATATTTCTATAAAATAAAAGTGTTTTAAATATTTTTACGTTAAACTAAGTAAAAAATTAAAAACAGTAAAGTTGTGATTTTTAACAATGTGACAGTGTATTATATAAGTCAATCGATTGTAAATAAGTGTCGTCTACCCGATGGTGTCGGAATTTCATGCCAGGTCAGCTAAAAGTGTATAATAATTATATATGTTAAAGTTGAAAATATGCTGACAAGTTTGTGACTTTAGCCTATAAACTACTCCCTGTTTCTCTTACTTAGCAAAACCAACCACCTCCGCCTTTCTATCTCCGCATCTCTCACGGCAGGTTTTGTTCAGAAAAAGGTTAGTCTTTTAGTTACCTTTCTTTATCTCATTGTACACTAGTGTATGTATGTATGTGTGTATTCAATTTTAGTTTTTTAATCAAGAATTGGAAGTTATTTTGATTCTTGATTTTCCGGCAGAATAGGGTATTGGTGAAAGAGTGTTCATTGATGCATGTGATTGTTCTGTTATGGGGTTGGGTTTTCTTGGTTGGGTTAGGGGATTTAGTTTCTGGGTTTTTTTTTCTTTTTAATTGTGCTAGTGGTTGTGTATTTTGATCAATAAAAAATGTGTATTTTGCATCAGGGGTTTAGTTATTCTGGAAGATGGATTCAGGGGATGTGTCTCTTCCAAGGAGGAGGACTAGACAGCAATTCTTGAAATATTGGGTTGAGTTAATTGAGAAAAGGAACAGTTTGGGTCGAACTGGTAATCCTACTCAGGCTTCGACTTGTTCGGTGAATATTGGAGAGGATGTGAGTTGTGGGAGGAAAAGAGATAGGGTGGGGGAGAATACAGATTCTGCAGATGGCAAGAGAAAAATGGGAAAATCAGAAGATGGAAGTATGGTAAAGGTGGACAATGGGAGGAGTAACTTCAGCCCAGGAACTTGTGAGTCCATTACGAAACCGCCTTTCATCCACGAAATATCTGATGATGATGGGGAGGAGGAGGGGAAGGAGAATGATGTTTTAATTGGGGAGGCTGCTGCAGGCTCTGCTGTAAATACTGGATCATGTTCAGTATCTTGGTCCAATGTGGGGTCTGTTGGATTAAGGAGTCCTATGTTGAATGTAGCAGATGAGGTTGTTTCATCTACCTCAAGCATGTGTTGGACAGCGGAGAAATCAGAAGAGGTTGCTGTTACAATTGCATCTTCTGAGTCAGAATCTGAAGCTTCAAGTGATGAGGATAATGATGACTCCGAAGACAAGAATTACCAGGTGAAAGAATCATCAAGTTCTAGCGAATCTGATGATGTAAGACGTGATACATCGAAAGATGATAAGGAATCAAAAGATGATGATCTGAGTTGTCCAACAGAGCAAGAACACCATGAAGAAGGAAACAAGGAGTCAAATGGTGGGGAGCTAGTACCTCAGCTTGCTGTTAAGGGTGAAAAGAACAACAAAGGCCGTTCATATCTTCTTCGGCCGCGCTCACTTCCTAAGTCCAAAACGAAGAAGTTAAACCATGGAAATTGTAGCAGCCCGATTCTTCTTAGTGAATCCTCATCTGAGGAGGACTGTGATGTTGATGAGTCGGTGCAAAATGTTGTTCAAAAGGATGCTGTTCGAAAGGTTAGAAAGACTCGGAAGAAAATTCTAAAAGATTCTGAATTTCTGAAGTTTGTTGTTGATTCCATGATAAATGTTGATGATCATGATAAACTTACTCCTCTTGAAGAGAAAGAACAAAAGGAACAGGTTCCTGTCAAAGAAACACTTCCTTTAATATTCCGGTTTGAAGACGAGGACCCTCTTCCCCCAGAGAAAGAAGAATGGGAAAAGGGAGTTGATGATCTTTTTGTTGAAATGGACATGTGTATCTTAGAATCACGTATTGGCTTTACAAATCCATCTGATTCACCGATTCAAAGTGAAAAAATAAGTGGCTGTCAGATGGGGAACCACCAGCTTGTTCTAGATGAACAAATTGGACTCCTCTGTAAAGTTTGTTCCCATGTGCATTTGGAGAGCAAGTACATCTTCCCTCCATTTGTAAGTATACGAGTTTTATCCTGTCAAACACTTTTCTTTTCAATTAGGAACACAATTTACAAGATCTGTTGTTATTACTTTGATAGATCCCATCTTTATCTTAATGACTCTGTAGTAGTTTTTATTTTATTCTCCTGTAGACCTGCACATATACTAATATAAATTCATGGCAGCTTTTTCTATAGCTTTGCCAAGCTGGAAGTACTGGTTGTTTTTAGCTGTTAGGATGATTGAGAACTGAAAGCGTGCTTGACATAGTGCATGATAACAATAATGCAGTTGGTTCTATGCCTCAGATTCGTAATAAGTTCTTGAATATGGAAACTTTGACAGTTTGCTATGGCCTAATAGTTTCTCTTTCAGTTAAATGGACATGCTAAAAATTTACAGCAATAAATGGAATTAGTTCAGTCAATTAGTTTGTGAGTTTCTTAGTCCATAATTAATATTTATTCTTGATAGTCCATAATTAATATTTATGCTTGATGTCTCTAGTTACATGTTCTATTACCATCCTTTTTCTTGGTAAATAAGTTTTAACTTTATTATCAAATAAAAACAGTTTACAGCTCTAGGAAAAGAAAAATCACAGGACTATACAAACCATAGCCTGGGATAAATTACAACCCCTAAATATCAGTTAAGGATAATAATTTAGTTCATGCAAAATTAGTTTGTAAGATTTGTTAGTCCATAAATTAATATTTACACTTGATAGCCCTAGTTACATGTTCTTTTGCCATTCTTATATTTGATTTTATGAAGTCTGCTCTCTAATTTATTTTTTGTTCACTCTTAAATTCTTGAAGGCTGAGAGAACCCGAGGGAGGCATGAAAGAAAATATTTTGGAGAGTCTCCATCCCTCTTGGATGTTGACGGCTTCAAATTTTATGATTCTTCTGCCATTCATGATGCTGCTATTTATGGGGAAGGAACTGTGTGGGATTTAGTTCCCCTTAGTGCCAAAACAACAATGTATCCTCATCAGCGTGAAGGGTTTGAGTTCATGTGGAAAAATATTGTTGGAGATATGTATCTTGAGAAGCTGAAAGAGCCTATATCTGGTAATAGGGGAGGATGCATAATCTCACACCCACCTGGCACAGGAAAAACCCGTCTCACTATAGTATTTCTTCAGGCATTTTTGAAGCAGTTTCCAAAGTGTCGGCCTGTAATCATAGCTCCATCCAATTTGCTTCTTAACTGGGAAGCCGAGTTCCAAAAATGGGAGGTCGACATTCCCTTCCACAACTTGAACAGCAAAGATTTCTCTTTCCAGGAAGATGAAGCTACTGTTAATGTCTTCCACTGTTTATCCCGTGCCGGAAAAAACAATCCACACCTTATACGTATGGTGAAGCTGAGATCCTGGGCTAAAAGTAAGAGTGTTTTGGGAATCAGCTATGACTTGTTCAGGATTCTCACGGGAGAAGATGGAGACAGTTATGCCACAGAGATTAGAGAAATACTTCTAAAGTTACCTGGTCTTCTGGTCCTTGAAGAAGGGCACACTGCTCGGAACGATCAAAGCCTTGTGTGGAAAGCTTTGAATAAAATTGAAACAGAGAAGCGCATACTCTTGTCTGGAACTCCGTTCCAGAATAACATCAAAGAGTTGTACAACACCCTATGCGTAGTTAGTCCAAAATTTGCTGCAGATTTGGAGCATAAATGGGCTTATCTTAGCAGTTCCATTGACAAGAATGTCCGAGCATTGGAAGAGCTTAGGGATATGATTGCACCACTAGTCCATAAATGTAGTGAAAATGTGAAGAAGGTAAGCCTTCCAGGTATAAGGGATATTGTGATACATTTGAAGCCCACACATTTGCAGAAGGAGTTGCTTAAAAGAATTCCAGAGAATCCAGGCTCCTTTTACGAACAAAATATGGTGTCTCTAATCTCTGTTCATCCTTCATTAGTGGCAACGAGGAAGGAGTTTGTTGACTTAGAAAGTCAGCTAAAAGAAAGAGGATGTCGATTGGATCCAGATAATGGAGTAAAAATGAAATTTGTTGTTGAACTAATCAGACTCTGTGGTGGATTGAAGGAGAGGGTTATAATATTTAGCCAGTTACTTGATCCTCTAAACTTGATCAAGGAGCAACTTAATTCTCTCTTTGGCTGGACTTTAGGCCGAGAGATCCTCTATATGGATGGAAAACTTGATGTAAAGCAGCGACAGATATCAATAAATTCTCTTAATGACCCTAAGAGTGATGTAAAAGTGCTTCTTGCATCAATAAAAGCCTGTTCAGAAGGAATAAGTCTTATAGGGGCCTCAAGAGTGGTTTTGCTTGACGTTCTCTGGAATCCCTCAGTAGAACAGCAAGCCATCAGTCGAGCCTACAGAAATGGTCAGACTAGGCCGAGAGATTCTCTATATGGATGGGAAACTTGATGTAAAGCAGCGGCAGATATCAATAAATTCTCTTAATGACCCTAAGAGTGATGTAAAAGTGCTTCTTGCATCAATAAAAGCCTGTTCAGAAGGAATAAGTCTTATAGGGGCCTCAAGAGTGGTTTTGCTTGACGTTCTCTGGAATCCCTCAGTAGAACAGCAAGCCATCAGTCGAGCCTACAGAAATGGTCAGACTAAATTTGTTCATGTTTACTGTCCAGTGTCATCAAAATGGGAGGTGGACAAGATCGAACAGCAGACGAAAAAAAAATATCATTCAGATGTTATTATGTCTAGGAATAAAGCGAATACTTTCAAGATGGATCCTTCATGTTCTGTGTCAGAGGATACCATACTAGAATCCATGGTTAAGCATGAGTGCCTCCGTCATATTTTTGAAAAACTATCTCATGCACCACGTGTTGTGCCTCCTACTACATGCTTTAATTCTCGTAACCAACCTTCAAAACTGAGCTGTTAGGTTAGTATGCTTTCTTCTTGTTTGCTGGTACATGAAGCAACCAGACTTGTTTAGTTTATTTTGTTAACTGCCTGTCTCTGGAAAATCACTCAACTACTTTTATCTCTTTCTTGTCAGATCGGTTGGAGCTTTTTTTGGGTTGTGAATGACACTTGTTAGGACTTACAGTGGAGCCTAGAAGAATTTTTGCAGTCATCCTTTTGTGAGGTGCTTCATGACAGGTACATTACCATACTATCAGTAAGCATTTTTCTCAAGATTCTAAATGATGTATTCACAAGAACTACTGTATTTATTTCCTCATTACATAATACCGATGAATGATCCCAGGACACCGGAGAACTTCACTAGTAACTAGTGACCTGCCTTTATCGATAAGCAAACTAGTTAATTTGTATTACTGTCATAAACTGGAGAACACTCTTAATAAAAAATATCAGGAATGCTACGTTTTTAGACATGAAAGAACTTTTTTTTAACGTTCTTATCTTTTTCTTATTCCGTTCCTTCTGGTTTCAGGCATTTTGATGCAATTCAAGAACGGCAGATTCACGCCTGGTTAATGAAGAATGCTGATAAGAGTTTTCATCACCCACAGGATGTTCTTGTAAAATTGTTTTGCCAGACAATTTTTTGTTTCAGAACTGTGAAAAATCTCAGGCTCTTTCATCTGTGTAGCATATTCCTCAACACAATTGTATTTTGGCTCAAGTCTCTTGGTATATATGATTCCACTTGTAGATAGTAAATTGGCTTCATGCTTATTTATATGTTACTTTGCATTATATTTTATGGTTTTGATAATTTATTTTCAAAATAATTAAGTGAATACTTTATTTAACAGTGATCACAGTGCCTTAACATAAACTTTCAAGTTATTGTAGTTGTGAAGTGCCAAAAGCTTGTGTTCTTCACATGTAAATGACACACTTGAGTAAACAATTAGTACAGTTTGCAATTTAATCATAGTAAAATAAGGGAAAATAATAAAAGAATAAGAAGGGGGTAAAGTATATGATATGTGTTTGTTAATAATCTTTAAGTACTTAATTACAGTTAACTTTTTAAACAAAACATATATTGGAGAAGGGGGATTACAAGGTCGAGAATGGAATTATCACTAATAAGGTAAAAATTTAGGTAGCATGTCAACGGGCTACTAAAATTCCCTTAAGCATGATTACTTTAAAAATATTTTTACCTTATTAAATTACTTAACTACAATAAGTTGATATGATTTAATGTTATTGGGTATGTACGTAGTAAATATTCAATCCTTCTATTTTAAAGCTTCATTTTTTTCTGCATTTAATTGAGATTTGAATTTTAATAGTTTAGACCTTAGTCATTTTAGTACATTTGTATACATTAAGATTTAAATACTCTTTTGGTCTGAATAGATCTTAATCATTAAAATTTTGAATAAAGTTTTAATATTACTATGAGGTATTTTGTGTGAATAATTATCACCATCCCTCTCTCGATAACCAACATCCGTCACCACTAACTATCTTTGTCATCACAACTATCATTACCACTGTCAACCATCACTGACAACTACTATCACTATCAACCACTACTAACAATCGTACACATTCTTCAGTCACCACCATCAACTACTAGCATCAACCAACTTCATCATCATTATCACCAATTCACCACTATCAATCACTACCATCTGTCTTTGATTTTAAAAATAAATAAAAACAATCACTACCATCACGTCAATCGCTATAACACTAACCACCTCCACCATCACAACTGTCACCACCATTAGTAGTCATTAATACCCATCGTTACCACAATCACTACTATAGTCATCTCCTCCACCATCCCAAGTGGACATAAATTATTTTTTTTATCAAATAATACTTTTCTTTTATTACATTTGTATTCTTTCCATAATTTAATTATATTAATTATGTTTACAAATAAATAAACCATACACATTCGTAGCGGTAGTGAAATAAACCGTCTTAATATATTCAAATGTCTTATTAACCTTTGCAAATTCAATTAATTCTCCTCACTAAAAATTTCAAAAACTGGCAACTTTGAATTACAAACACAACCAAATTAAGAAAATAAACTTCCATTAATCTCTTGTGATTTAGAAAAGAAATAATTTAACCATGCAAAGATCTAAATTATTGATCTGATCCCAAAATTAGGCAAAAAAAGTTTGAAAGAGTCTCCTAATCTATAGCCCTCATGTATTACTCCTTTCCAAACTGTTTTTTATTTTTTATAATAAAAGTTTTAAAAAAAACGAATTAATTAATTAAAAAATGTTTTAAAAAATTAAAGAAAGAAATAGTCAATATCATGATCCAAAAACATTTCATTTCCAACATTATTATTTTTTTTAAAAAAAAATTGTCCTTTTTTTTTCTCCAATTTTTCAGAGTGGTTTTGTTGCAGACTTGCAGTTCCGTAAAACACACACTCCCTCTGTGATCTGTTTTTCCCCATTCTTCTTCTCAAACACATGCAAAATCAAAATCTAGGTATATATGTATATAGTATAATGCATGGATTCTATTTCATTATACATTACGTACACTATATTTCTCTTTGATCAATTGATGAATCGTTAAGTTTTTGTTTTTTGCCCCTTTTTTGTTAGTGTGCATGTGATGTGCGAAGAAATTTGAAGAGAGAGAAGGGTAAAAAAGGGTTACATGCAGCGCAGGGGTGATCAGAAGAAAAGTGAATCACAGAATCAGTATAAGAGAAATAGTAGAGTGGGTGGTCGTTCACCATCAGCACAGCCACAGTATCAACGGGTTACTTCTGGAAAAGGCGGTGGTAGCTCTGTTCTACCTCCTCCTTCTCCCGATTCCGATTCCTCTTCTCCCACCACGCAAAGGTATTTTCCGGTTTTTTTTTTCTACGAAGCAGAGGTGGAGCCAGTATTAGGAGTTTGGGGTTCTAAATTTTTTTTCTCTTCCTTACCACTGAGTTGTAAATCAGTTTTGTTAGAGGTTCACAAGTTAATACACATATATTTACTTAATTTTCTATGGAAAAGCTACTGGGTTTGTCTGAATCCACGAACCCCACCTAGCTCCGCCCCTAAGTACGAGGGTTAAATTAACCAATTTTTGGGTGAGACTTGTCATAGCGTTTGGTCATGAGTATTTGTAACAAAAAGTAGTTTTTGTTTTTAGAGTGAAAAATGATAGTATTTGAAAATTTGAGTTGTTTTTGAATGTTTGTGAGTGATTTGGAGTGAAAAAGGCTTTTTGGTGTTTTTCAAGTTTATGAAAAAGTGAAAAACATCAAAACAGTTGAAATCAGAAAAATTCCGGAATTTTATAGCCAAACGTGTTTTTTCTTAGTTTAACTCCGGAAAAAGTATTATGTGCTTATCAAGGTGTTCCCCATTTTGTTTTGCACTTGAGCCAAGGGCCTTTCTGAAATAACATTTCTACCTCCATGAGATAGTGATAAGGTTATCCCTAGACCTCACTTATGGAATTTCACTGGGTATGTTGTTGTAACTCTAGAAAAAAGTAGAAAAAAGTTCATGGCCAAAAGCCTAGGTATGGAATTTTCATACTTGTACCTACTTGGTCCCATAATAAATGTGGTGCTTTAGAGTACTGTGTATGAGGGTAAATTTAACTAATTTATCGGTGTGATTTAGGGCCAACATTTTTCAAGTTTTTCTTTTTAATTAGACATTTGAAAATTGTGGTTAGAAGTACTACAAGTCATAATAGTTGATAATTCAAAATGATTTATGAAGAAATAAAGGACAAAGAAAAACTTGTTTGAGTGTTCAAATAGTAGATTGTATTGATGTCACATAAAATGGGATATTTGTGGAATGAAACAGGATGAGATAGAGCAGAATGGATGTAGATGATTCGTGGTAATTGATACGTCAACTAGTTTGGGATTGTGTCGTTGTTGTACTTATGCATGTTTGTCAAACAAACAAAGCTTTGCCTTTTCTGAATATGATAAATGAGTACTAGTACAAGAAAACTTTTGACCTTAGTTAGGTGATAGTTTTAGATAATCTGTTTTTCTCAGTAAGAAAAGGAAATACAGCAATAAGTGCAGATTAAAACTGAATTAATCTCTTATAAGAAGTAGGAGATCTGTTAAGTTTTGATTTTTCTTGCCAATTTGCATTGGAAACTTGATAGTTTCCTGTGCATGTGATCGAGCTCCCTCTTCTGAATTCATAATTCACATTTTTTCAAAATTTAATCCCGTAATTATCATGTCTCCTAATTGTTCCATTATGCCTCTAATGAGTTGACTGAAGTTGAGTTTGAACTGCTTCTGAGTTGTTTGAGTTACTTGACTAGAACGTTACTTTATATCATGAAGTTATTGATCTAATTTGCTTATTGAGCTATTTCGTTATTAAGGATCTTCTTATCGGATAGTAATCTAAACACTGCATGCATCTGAATGTTTAGGTCACACCTGCATGCATCTTCTTTGTGTCCTCGTGGAAAAAATTCTATAATTCTTGAACTTTGATCTGTTGAATGGAATTTGACATTTATAATGATTTCTCGTATTAGCTTCAAGAAGTCTGATGGAGAAACAGGTCCACTGAAAGTGACTGATGCTGTGCAAAATGATGCCCCTGCCAAAACCTCAGGATCAGGTTTTTTAATTTTCCTCTAACCATTCACTATTCAACTGCTTAATTGTGCCTATGTCAACAACTATCAAAATTCTTTCTAGCCTATCTGCATTGCATACTAGTTTACTGAAAAACATATTACCTTGTTTGAAGCACTTTAGATTTCACAGCCGTTTCCCTTCATCACTGTTGATGAAACATCCTATGCATATTGAACACTTCAACTTTTTGTTTGTTTGTTTGTTACTATTGGATTTTCTAGATGCGTCAGTGAAAAGGATATGGTAAAACCATTGATCTTTGAAGTCCAAATGTTCTGAGAGTCTGTAGGTTAATAGGCGAAATGATGATGAAAAGCTTCATTGGTCTAGGGTAAAGAATCATGAATCAAGATAATTAAAATCTGCCAGTAGCAACTTCACACGGAACTATTGTGGGGATCCTGAAATGGGAGAACTTAAAATCTCGAATCTTGAATCTAGATTCTTTAAAATCTGGTTCATATACCTTTCCAGAATTGAAAACGCAATGTTTCTAACTAGAGAAAGATTTACTTGAACTTGTAATAGAATATACAATGCATATACTAAAGATCTTACTGTTGCTTTTGTGGGCTTAATGTGTTGATCAGACAGGTATAACTTTTTTCTCTTCTCGTTCTTCTTTAGGTTTTCTTTTTATTTGTTCATCTGTTTGTTTGTTCTGGTTTGCCTCTAAATGATGCTGCAATTCCAGCATGCTTCCTTTAATTCGTCACTTCCAATGAATACGACATTTATCATTATAAATGCTTCTTGAACTTAAAAGGTAACAAACAGATTACTACAAATAGGTTATATGGACTGCAATTATTTTAAGCATCTATTTTAGAAAACTAATTGTTGCTCATTTATGGCATGATGAGGAATCTTGTGCTAGATATATTATAGTAGTGGTTTTGGTACTTAAGTTATGGTAAGTGGAAAATTGGCAAGTCATTTAGTATTCTTTAAAGGAGAGATCGGATTTGGGGAATCTGTGGATCGGTGTCTGCAAGGGTATATATTTCTTCTCATATCTTGCTTTGTGTGGTTCTCTTGCAAGCACCAGCTTTCTTTTCCTTATTTTCAAGCATCATACCTCTCATCTGGTTTGTCATTGGTTATTTCAATAATTCAATGGAAAGAATAAATCGCTGTGAAGTTATGTTATCTCATTATTTCATGCATTCTGAGCTTTCGGGATCTTCAATTTCTCTAACGTCAGATAAGTTAGTTGAGCCAGCACATAGAATCAGACATGAAGATAACCAAATTGTTTCTAGTGCTCTTTCTTCTCAACATACATCTTCAGATTTGGATCCGTCTGCTCCAAAGACCCCCATGAAAGGTATTCTTGCTGTCATAAACGTTCGTACGTGATTAGACATTAAATCATATCCCAATCTATTTTCTCTTGATGGATTCTGTGTATGTCTGTAATTGGACCCTCGAGGGTGTGGAATCTCAGTAAAAATGAGAATGAATTGAACGGTGGACATATATGTTTATGCCCACTACATAGTTGAACCTACATCAATGGACTTGCATATCTGCATTACTTGTTCAGTATTGCTAACATTTTTAGGATCTCCGATGTTGTTTCATTTACTTGGGCTTCCATGAACTGTGTTTGTATTTGGCAGATGACACTTCTAAAAATGTATCTCTTCAATTTGGAAGCTTCACCCCGGGTTTTGTGAATGGAATGCAGGTACCATACATAAGCATGTCATTCATATATTACATGTGCTTTACGAGATTATGAATTATTCTTTAACAAGAAAGATCACATTTTACTTATTATTATATATTTTTCTCTTTAACTCCAGATTCCTCAAAGGACCAACTCAGCACCCCCCAACATGGATGAGCAGAAGCGCATTCAGGTAGTGTAAGCTGTCTAGTGATTCCTTATGTTTGTTTTATCTGTAGATACTACTTCAGATTGGATTGGGTAACCATCTCAATGAACGAAATCACGAAAAGTTCACACAAACTAGATAAAATAGCATGGAGAAACTTGAACAACTCCTCCTCAAATTAGTTACTATCTGAGATTTTAGTGCGTTATTTCTGACTAAATAGATCAAGATAAAAGCCTTGAGTAATATATTTCCGCCAAATTATACTTTTCTTCCAATATCGCATGTGGTTGATTGAAAAAACTGTTCTCAGAATTTGGGCATGTATCTCCTCAGTGATAGAGAGAGCTGGTTGTGGGGATTGTCATGGTCTAGCTGTCTTTCTTATTGGTAAATGGCAACCGTAACTTAAACATGTTTTAAGCCGAGGAAGATCATGTTTTCACTATTTGTTTCAAGAACAACATTTGTAGTCATATTACGGGTGTTTTCTACTTTCTAGCTCTTTCAATTGCCGAAGTGATTTTCTGGTAACGCAACATTCTGTTTTGCAGGCACGATCTAGTCCTTTTAGACCACTGCAGCTTTTGCCTTCTTCTACTCCACATCAGCCGCAGCTGAGGGAGGATATTGGGAAGCCGATGAATAAAAATCCTGATCCTCAGCATTCTCATGAAAGAGACCTACCTGTTCATGTTCAGGTTCCAGCAGCTCAGGCTGTCGGTAGCATGCAGAAGTTATCTTCTCTCCCTTTTCCGGGGGTTCCAGTCAATCCTCCTTTTTTGCAGCCTCATGGTCCTGTGCAGTTCGGAATGCCTGGACCACAGGTTCAACATCAAGGAATACCTTGTTCTTCGTTCCCAATGCCAATGCCAATGCCACTACCAGTTGGAAATCCCAACCAAGTTAGGCATCCCCCATTTGTCCCTGGTCTCCAACCTCACCCTATGCAGCTTCAGGGAGCAATGCAACATGGACAAATGATGAACTTCCCTTCTAAATTTGGTCATCAGCTGAGCACTCCATTTGGCAACATGGGAGTTGGGATTCCACCACAGTTTGGGCAGCATGTTAGGAAGGTTAATTCTCGCAAATCTGTTAAAATTACTCATCCCGACACTCATGAAGAGTTGAAACTAGATGAGAAGGTTGACATGAAATTGGATGGTGGTTCATCTGGCTTGGCAATACATCATCCTGGGGGATTACCATCACAGCCTATGCATTATGGTCCCTCTCGCCCTATGAGCTTTTCCCCACAGATGTCCCCGAATCCTATGTTCTTACAAAACGCTCCTTCAGTTCCTATAACAAACTCCCTTGTGGCTCCCTGCGCTCCCGGACTAGGATATAACTCTTCAGGTAGGAAAGATTACTAACTTTTGTTCGTGAATGTAGTTTTAAATATTTATATGTTTTTCATATTTCCTATCTGCAACTTTAATGTATGTGTGTGATTTCTGTTTCTCCAACTTCAGTTCAATTGGCAATTAACCAAGCTCCTGGCTCTGTTAGAAGAGAGGTTTTGGCATCTTCATATCCAGTTTCCATGAAGACAGCGGAAACAGAAAAGGCACTGCAACCACCTTTGAGAGTTAACTCTAGTGGAGAGGGATTAAGGATTCTCTCAGAAACCTCTGTTGAGGCTTCAGAATCTACCTCCAAGCCAACACCTTTTGCTTCACCCTCAAGCAAATCACTTATTTCTGTCGATATACCTCCTTCTGGTAGTGCTACATCTATAGGAAGCAATGTTAACCATGTTCGAGGAGTCGATTATGTTGAGACCGAGTTGAAGAACCCTCCAAAGAAAAGCCAATTGCATCCTCAACAACTACAAGAGGTATGTTTACTTTTATGATAGTGCAGTTTCCACGTGTCTTCACATCTCTAGTCTCTCTCAAACTACCCATAGGGCCTACTTTCTGGCAAGGGGAGACCTTTGATTTTTCTGATTATTTCTTATTCAGTTAAACATGACTTGAGCATTCTCATAACTTTATCATTGTATGAATCAGGAAGGAAATTCCGTGTCCAAATCGAATCCTACTCCAACAAGTTCAGTAGACCGTATTTCTGATGGTCAAAATGCTGCAACTATAGAAACCCAAGCAGCAGCGAAAGAAACTCAAACTGAAAGAAACTCAAATGATAGGAATGCATCAGATCAAGTATCAAGCACAGGGGGCTGTGAAACTAACAATGTGGTTCATCAGTTGTCACATTCTGCTGCTTCCTTATCAGATTGCAATGTTTCTAAAATTGTGGTGCCTGTTGCTACATATAATAATAAAGAAGTTTCTCCTTCTGCATCTGGAGCAAAGTATAATGACGATTCTCATATTCATACTTCACCGTCATCTCCATCATATACCAAAATTAGGGGCAAAGTCACTGAGGAAACAAAAACTGAATATCGTCGCGTTCAAGGATCAAGTCCAAAGGATAAACATACAAATAAGGTGAAAAGTGCAAACTCCAGGGGAAAGAAAAAGAGAAGAGAAATTCTTCAGAAAGCTGATGCAGCTGGAGATACGTCTGATCTTTATATGGCATTTAAGGGACCCAAGGAGAAACTACAATCTTCTGTTTCTTCAGGAAGTGTTGAGAGTTGTTCCAGTCTCACTGCAAGGAAGATATCATCAAGTTCCAATGAAGATTTTTCGGCAAATGAAGATAAAAAGAGTACAGGTGAACCAAACAACTGGGAAGATGCTGCTATGTCAACTCCAAAGTTGGAAACTTCTGGTGACAATAAAATTGTTAATGATAATCTTAGGCATCCAAATGGTGGAAGTGATACTACAGGACAAATGAGATACTCAAGAGATTTCCTTCTTACCCTTTCTTCTCATTTCGGTGATCTCCCTGCTAATTTTGAAGTTCCGTGGCATATGGCGGAGGCCCTTTTGAGTCCTAACTCTAGCATTTCGAAAGAGGTAGATTTTAACAAGAATGGTCCAAACTCCTGTCCTGGACAAATTAATAGCAGACAAGGCAGCTCTTCTTGGTCTGAGAACCGTCCTACTGGAATGGCAGATGATGGCAGGTGGACCAATGAGCAACATATTGATATCAACCAAGGGGGAAATGCTAATGGTGCTCGTCCGGGTCGAGGAAACCACAAGAATATGAGGAATCTACAAGGACAGCCACCTAGCCAACATGTATCTGTGTTTCCTGCTGGAGCAATGCTGCCATTAGCCTCTCAGGGAGGAATACAACATATTAGGTCCGATGCCAACCGCTGGCAGCGGGTTTCTGGCTCCCGAAAAGGTTCATTTCCTTCTCACTCTCCACTGCAAGTTATGCACAAAGCTGACAAGAAATATGAGATACGCAAAGTGACTGATGCAGAAGAGGCAAAACGTAGACACTTGAAAGCTATCCTCAACAAGCTAACGCCACAAAATTTTGAGAAGCTGTTTGAGCAAGTAAAGGAGGTTAATATTGATAGTGCTACCACTCTTGCTGGTGTCATTTCACAGATATTTGACAAAGCTCTAATGGAGCCAACATTTTGTGAGATGTATGCAAATTTTTGTTATCATCTAGCCGGGGAACTTCCTGATTTTGTGGAGGACAATCAGAAAATAACCTTCAAGAGACTGCTCCTTGATAAATGCCAGGAGGAGTTTGAGAGAGGTGAAAGAGAAGAAGCAGAAGCCGACAGTTTGGAAGAGGATGGAGCGGTAAAGCTGTCAGAGGGAAAGAGAGAGGAGATGAGGTTACAAACACGAAGAAGGATGTTAGGTAACATCAGATTGATTGGAGAATTATACAAGAAGAAGATGCTTACAGAGAGGATAATGCATGAGTGCATCCAGAAATTGCTCGGGCAGTACCAGACTCCAGATGAGGAAGATATTGAATCTCTCTGCAAGCTTATGAGCACTATAGGAGGAATGATCGACCATTCCAAGGCAAAGGATTACATGGACGCGTATTTTGATATGATGACGACAATGGCTAACAATACAGATTTGTCTACTAGGGTGAGGTTTATGTTGATGGATATTATTGATTTGAGAAAAAATAAGTGGCAGCAAAGAAGAAAAGTAGAAGGCCCCAAAAAAATAGAGGAAGTGCGAAGAGATGCTGTGCAAGAACGTCGAGCTCAGGTTGGTCGGTCCCCTCGTGGTTCAAGCACTGTTTCCTCTGCTAGAAGAGGGCAGCCTGCAGATTTAAGTCCTCGTCCATCCATGTTTTCTTCTCCAGCTCCTCAGATGACTCCATTTCGTGGAATACCATCACAAAATCGTGGAGTTGGAAGCCAGGATTGCAGGTTAGAAGCTAAACATCCACATGAGAGTAGGACATCATCAGCTGCCATGCCACAGCGATCTATTGATGATAATAAAACAATGAGCCTTGGTCCGCGGGGAGGCCCCGGAAGGGGAACGCCTTTCAGGGGTCAAGCAATGCATTCTGCTGGTCCCGTGACTGCTGGTGCTGGTGGGTGGTCACCATACAACTCGAGACAAGAATCAATATCCAAATATGCTCCAGGGACAGTTGTGAAGCCTACTGCTAATTATGCTCGGCCAAATCAACATGAGCACACACATTATGCAGAAAAAGAATTAACAAATACAAATCGTCCTTTTGGGAGATCTGCTGAACCACCAGCGCAAAATTCACCAGGAACGATATGGTCTGAAGAACGTCTTGGAGAAATGTCGATTGCAGCTATTCGTGAATTTTACAGGTACAATTTCTCTCGCCATTGTTTAATTTTTCTACACCCTAATTGCTAACCCTTTCTTATACGGTGAATCCATGAAAGGAGTTGTGTTGAAAAATATACAAGTGACCAGTGCATTACCGATCATAAAATGTAAAGAAAGATTACAACTTGAGGACTTTTTTCAGAATCTGCGTCATAGCAAGAGTGTAAAAGAATCATCTGAAGGAAATGATAAGACCGGCTAATTAATTATGAAGTTTACATTCTTGAGATATGATAACTTTTATAGACTTTATGCCCCAGTGTAATTAATGCGATCAAGTATTTGTTGCACATATCTGTAACGTGGAAGTTATTTTAGTAAGGAAAATTACTTCTATGATTGTAGCTTCACATTCAGGGAGCCGACATTTTTAAGAAACTCGAAGCAAAGAAAACTACTAACAACATTTACATAATGTACATGGAGTTATTCTTTCATTCTGTTTGACTACATGAGAGAAGATCCATTCAAGGATTTCATTTGGATAATCTCAAAAATCCTGCTCTTCCTATACACACCTTTTACAGTTATAAACTTATAATCCGTGTGATTTTCTGGTTCCAGTGCAGTTGATGAGGACGAAGTTGTTCTACGCATTGGAGAATTGAACTCACCAAGCTTTCATCCAATGATGCTATCGATATGGGTAAATGACTCATTTCAGAGGAAAGAAAGGGACAGGGATCTTCTTGCTCGGCTTCTTATCAGTCTTACGAAGTCAAAGGTGGTACTGGAAACCAAACATCTCATTAAGGGGTAAGCTGACTATTTCTTTTCTAATGCCATCCTACTCTTTTCTTATAATTTTCTTACTCTTAACAGGTTTGAATCAGTTTTAGCTACTTTGGAGGACGAAGTTACTGATGCTCCAAAAGCAGCTGTATTTCTTGGTCACATTTTCGGTAGATTAATCAGTGAAAATGTGATCTCTCTGAAAGAAGCAGGACATCTTATACAACATGGTGGTGAGGAGTCTGGTCATCTTCTGCAAACTGGATTGGGATACGAAGTTCTCGAAAGTACATTTGAACTTATAAGATCAGAGAAGGGAGAATCAGCCTTGAAAGATATCTGCAGCGCGTCCAGCACACAGTTGGAAGATTTTAGACCACCTGTTCTGTCCAAATGAACCATTTTTTAATCATTAGGTGGTGACAATAACCTTTTGTTTTCGACCTGGTTAATGGTTATTCATTGTTTTACCTAAGAACAAATGCAGAAGCAGGGCAACTTAATATGCAGAATATTTTGTGAAATGCTTAGGCATGTATACGTGACTGTTGATATCAACTTTGTGAAGCATATATCAATTTGGTTTACTGGGCTAGGTGTTTTCCAAGATAGTTTAATGTTCTAGGTAATTTCTTCCCTTATGTCCAAGCCTTAGTGGACAGTGTTATTCCGTACCTGTGTTGGTGGGAGGTAGCAGATACTTTAATCATGGTGCATGCCCTTGGCGATAATCCTACCCCCCCCCCCCAAATTACAACCAATTCTCAGTTCTGAATTAAACTCAATGAAACCACCTCCCCTTTTGTTTTTGAACCTTGGTGGGAGGTAGCAGGTACTAAACAGATGATTAGATGTGTACATAAGTTGGTTCGGACACCGTCTTTATATAAAAAAAAATGATAAATATGCATCAAAGTATCTAATGTTATTACATAGGTGTATGTTTGGTGTGTTATTAGTATGTAAATGCACATAAACCTAAGTGGAGCACAAATATATATATATATATATATAT